ATTGCCACTTAAAACAAACCCACAAGCAGTTTCTGACCTCTTACTTTTTTCTTCCAAAAGCACCTGCTGCCAATATGTCTCATAAATGTATCAAATCCAGTTTCAACATACAGCTCAGTTCTTTCTCCCTACAAGCTCTAAATTTAAACAACTAATAATTCAAGCTTCCATTTTTAGTTTATATTTCCAGACAAAACATGTGTAGTACGTGCACAAAGTAAGAGATGGACACTTAGTGTGGAGCTGAGGAAAAAATTCTTTACTCATATAGTGTTATGAATATTTCGAATTTTCTACCCAGAGTCCTGTTGGTCTTCAGTCAATGAAAAAAATTAACACTGAAAAAACTAAATTTCTGGCATTAAAGAATCAAGGAATATGGAGGTAAGGTATCAGTACCTTAAGGTATCAGGACAGGTGGATAAAGAGATTAAGAGATGTATGGTATACTTGGCTTTATTAGCTGAGACAGAGTTTATGAGCAGGGAGGTTATGCCACAGCTAGAATATTGAGTGCAGTTCTGGAATCCTCATTACAGGAGGAGTGTGATTGCACTGGAGAGATGTAAGGGAGATGTGCCAGGACATTGCCTGGGCTGAAGAGTTTTAGTTATGAAGAGGAATTGAACTGAACAAAGGAGACTGATGGGGACATGATTGAGATGTACAAAATTATGAGGTACATAGATAGGGTAGACAGGAAGGAACTTGTCCCCTTTATGGAGGGATCAATGACCAGGAGGCATTGATTTAAGGTAAGGGGGCAAAAAGTTTAGAGGAGATGTGAGGAAAAGCATTTTTCACATAGATAGAATTTGGAACTCACTGCCCGTAAGGGTAGTAGAGGAGGAAACCCTGATAACATTAAAGAAGTACTTAGATGTGCTCTTGCAATGCCAAGACTTACAAGGTTAAGTGCTGAAAAATAGGATTCAAATATATAGGTGGTTATTTTTGACTGGTGTAGATGCAATGGGCCAAAAGGTCTGTTTCTGTACTGAAGACCTCAATAACCCTAAGGTGGGAAGTTGAACCGGATGTAAATATTCTGGAGCAGGTTTGAGAAACCCTATGACTACTCTCTCTTTTACTTCTTAAATTCTTATGTCCTCATACCAATAATTTAAGCATTAAATGCTTAAAGGCTAACCCTTACTATCAATCATGCATAATATTCAATTTTTTTAACTGAAACTTCAAGTATTTCAGGATTTGTATGGCATTGTGCCATCTGACTGACACCTCCTGAGTTCAAAGCTGCACACACTATTGTTGGCTGACAACAGTTCACATGAAGTAATTTGTCAATTCTCTGCTAGCTGAGAAAGGTAGAATACTGAACCATGCAGAGAAACATAGATGCTACAAAGCAGCGTGGAACCTCAGACATGAATTTGACATGCCAGCATCTATTCTCTCAGTACAGAACATCTGTCACAGGTATTTCAGTTCTGGGACTTGTAACAGTTAGAGCCCGTGATATAATTTACCATTGGTTGCTGAAATTCAGAAGTTACTTAGTAGTTACATGTAATTGGCTTAAATGTCATTTTTACTTTTTAAGTGAAAGCTACAGGGTTATAAGTTTGGTTCAGATGGAAGTGGAAGAGCTAACTGACAGCACAATTTCCACTCTGCCTGTTTAGTTTCCCAATAACTCCATTGGAAAAGACAATCAGGCACAGCGCAAAACAAGTTGCTGATTTTATAACTGCCCATCTTATGCTGCACCGCACGGCACTTTTATATCCATAAGGGCATGTGGAAAGCTTCATCAAAATCCTTTTTATACATCCTACTTTGATATCTGTAACCACGGAATGACAATGTAACTATGCTATATTTTACTTTCTAATACATCAGAAGTTGCATATAAATTGCCACATGATGGAGGGTATTGTGCATGTTATGGTATCAGCTACTGTAATCCCCATAACCCCGACCTTCCCTATAACTTTCAATATTTTGCTACCTCATCTGTTCAATACCCTACATTCCTTCTTCGTCTCAAATTCCCCCTTTGCTGTCCTTTCTGTTGAAATTGTTGCAGCCAGTATGCCAATTTGATGATGATTGTTAGTGTCATGTGCTCAGAAATGAAGTGAAATGACATGGATGTTGAGATCATACAACCCAGGTTCAATGCTGAGGGAACGTTGATGAATCAGGGTAACTCATTGGCTTGGATAAAGGATTGGCTAAACAACAGAAAGCAGAGTGTTCGGATAAATGGATAAATGGATCTTTTTCTGGTTGGCAAGATGTAACCTGTGGGGTGCCGCAGGGTTTGGTCCTCATACCCCAACTATTTACTATCTGTATTAATGACTTAGATGCAGAGATAGAATTTACAGTTGATGCTAAAATGGATAGGATGGTAAGTTACAATGAAGAAATAAGAAATTTGCAAGTGGATATGGATAGGTTAGCTGAACGGGCCAAAATTTGGCAGATGAAGTTTAATGTGGATAAGTGTGAGATTATCCATTTTAGTCAGAGGGATAGAAAGGCGACTTATCTAAATGGAGAGAAACTTCAGAGTGTTTCAGTGTGGAGGGATCTGGGTATCCTCATGCATGAATCACAGAAAACTAGAATGCAGGTACAGCAGAAAATAAGGAAGGCAAATTAAATTTTTGATATTTGTTGCTAAAGGAATAGAGTATAAAAATAGGGAAGTGTTCAATTGTACACAGTATTAGTGAAACCACACCTGGATTATTACGTACAGGTTTGATCCCCTTACTTGAGTTGGGATCATTGCATTGGAGCCAGTTCAGAGGTGATTCACTAGATTGATTCCAGAGGTGAGGGGTTTGTCTTATGAAGAGAGAGTGAGCAGTTTAAGTTTATACTCTCTGGAGTTTAGGAGAATGAGATCAGCCATGATTGTATTGAATAGCACAACAGACTCGAGGAGCTGAATTGCGTACTCTCACTCTTAATTCTTATGTGAGCAGATCTAAGTGAGGTATATAAGATTCTAAAGGAGATTGTCAAACTGGACATAGAGAGTATATTTCCCTCTCTACGAGAGGTCATAGTTTTAGGATAAGGGGTAGCAGTATTAAGGACCAGACCAGGTCTCCCCCAAAATATAGTAAAGAGATAGCCTTGATCCTAACTTTTACACTTATTTAAAGACCAGATGTGATTTGACTGGCCCACTATTAGGCTTTCAACGAAACACACTGTAATTCTTATAACACAGGTAAAATACAAACAAAAAAAAGAACTGGCATAACTTTTGAATCTGTTGAATTATTTAAGATAATATATGATTTAACCACTATTCATCAACTGTGCCAATATAGGCAGTATTCCATAAATACTCCTCTGACAAGGCAATTTAGCAAAACAGCTCTGGTTCTCACATGCTGTCCCTCCAGTCCAGAAGAAAGAAACAACCTGCCCCTTTTGGATTTTAAGAGGACGTCTCACTATCTAAGATTTCGCTCCAGCAGAGAACTCAAGCTTTTAGCCCAGCAGCCAGCAGAAACTTTCTCCCTCACCGAAAAGCAAAATTCAAAGCCTTCCTGGGTCTGTGTGAGCCCTAACCCAGCTGACTTGTGATTCTTTTGTCTTTTTTTTTAAAAAAAATGCCCAGGTATAACTCAAAAGATTTTCACCAACTTCCTGTCTGAAGGAGACATTCCTGTGCCACTGTGACAACACCTCTCTGCAAGAGAAACAGCACAGGTCACATCTCTCTTAAAAGCACAGTGCTGTCACAGCAGGTTTAAAACAGAGATGAGGAAAAATTACTTCTCTCAAAGTGTCGTGAGTCTGTGGAATTCACTACCCCAGACCGTGGTAGATGCTGGGACCGAGGAAATTTAAGCAGGAGATGGACAGATTTTTAATTAGTAATGGGTTGCAGGATTATAGAGAGCAGCCAGAAAATGGCGTTGAGGTCAAGATGAGATCAGCCACAGTTGTATTGAATGACAGAGCAGGCTGAGGAGCTGAAATGCCTTCTCCTGCTCCTAGTTCTTATGAATTACATTATAGCAGTATCATCATGAAGTATCAGTTCATGACATGTGTGAAAAGTATTGTCCATTGAGATGCTTGGATAAAGCAAAAAATTATTACATATAATTTCAGTTTAGCATTCAACCGTGTGATAAAGCTAGGGTCAGAGAGGCAGTGCTTAAATCTCCAGCTAAAAGCATAGAAATAACTTTAAATACCCAAATCATTCTGAATATAGAGAGCAGCATTTGTGATTTGAGGGTAATTATTCCATGCGGAAAAACTATTTGTTATTATTTATTGAACGAATTGGGAAATATTCCAGCATTCATACAAAAGATGTTACAGCCTTGAATTAATTAGCTTCAGGTTAAATTATTGTGCTCCTTTTCTTCCCAGAGTTAGAATATTCCTATAATTTTAAATTACTCAAATTTGGTAATCCTTTATTATTTTGTACTTTACCATTTCTGCACAGAGCATTAGTTAAATTTCTTTGGACCGAATCAGACTGTGAATGCAACAGTTAATATTATTTGTCATTTATGATGTTTCTCTGACATTTTTAAAATTCCCAGTGAGTGACATTGTTGCATCTTTGGAACAATCTTATTAATACTTCTGGTTCTGTAGCTCAATTGGATGTAATTTCATGAGTTGAGATAGGCAACAGCGTAACTAGACAAATAAATGAATACTCATTTTTTTGTTTTGCAAGGTCACGTATCAAGCTAGCAGAATAAAGAGCTGGCTTGTACCAGTATGCACTGCTTCTCAAATATTCCATTTCAATCCATTGTACACTTTATCATTATTAATTGCAAACTAGCCAACAGTTCACGTTATAGATGAACACTATTGTATAGTTCATTAATACTGTTCATTGTTTTATCTGATTACACCTCTGTGAAGCACGTTCGAATATATTTTTATGTTTAAGTTGCTTTATAAATGCAATGTATTATGTTTTTCAGTGTTTCCATTTCAATTTCCTTACCTAATTCTTTTTAACCTTCTCTTTATAGGCCATAACCTTTGACCCTGAGAAACATGTTCCTCAAGTTACTGCTGACTGCACCGGCTGTACTCTTTGCTATAGTGTCTGTCCCATCATTGATTGCATTACAATGATTCCCCGTTTAACACCTTATGAACCAAAGAGAGGTATTCCGTTGGCTGTCTGACAAGTTTGTTGAGTTGACATGGTCCAGCAGTGAAACATGATTTAACATCCATATCTACCTAAAAGCATTGATTTAGTCATTCAGTCTATAGCATGATAAATTACTGTTATTTCCAAAGTATTGATTTTTACTTACTAATCCGAGTTGCAGCGACCTTGCATTCTACAATTAGCTAACTACGATTGAATAAAAGGATTTACATTTAAAAAACTGTCCTATGTTAATAATCAATAAGTAATACATTTAAATGTCAAGCATGTAATAAGGCAGTGACAAAATTGGCTTACAATGTGCAGACCCTTATGTATAATTTACATTTAACTAACAAATTGCGCCAATATACTTCCACTATACCTGTACTGGAGGATCTCTATTATAAACTAGCAACAGAGAATGATAAATGAGCACCCTCTATTATTTTATGAGTTATTTCATCTAATAAGGAGTACATTTAATGTAGAGGAACAGAGATATTTCCAGCCTACTAAGTAATGTGACTAAAATTTACATTCATCTCTCAGCATGACATACATTCCTTCAGCATACAAAGTGCCATTCCATTATATTGATAAGGATATCTGCCTTGAGCATCCCTTTGGTGCCTGCTGTTTCCATTTAACTCACCTAGATCCATAGAATCTGCTGGTTTCTGCCAATAATGTTAATTCTCATAAATTGAATCAGATCCCAGATTTTTGTAAATCTATCATGAAACCAGTTACTGGAAAAATTGAATTCTAAGGCTGTTAGAGAAAACTGAACTTTTAATTTAATCTGATAAATACCATAGTTTTCAAAGCAATACTGTCAGTCTGAAGGAAAAAAAAACACAATTTTGAAAGAGAATAAATTGCTCAACGAAGAGTTATTTTTTAGTACCATGTAAATTAACTTGAGATGGTAAATGTGCTATTATATATCACAGTCTGTGCATATTATACGACATGGAAGTTTCTATTTTGTCTCTAATAATTAATTTCTGTTTATTCTGGTTTTTAAGCTGAATTTAGTGCACAACTATATTTTTGTTGTCAGTGCTCATAATAACAGTATAAACTGAATCAAGTGACAGACTTATAACAAGTAGAGCTTTGTGAAAGAGCTGTTCAGAACCTTGATGTTAGGGCCATTTGGGGATCCTAACCCCACATAATATCAGGAAGTTGCCCAACATCATTTGGTCTATTAGTGGGCAGAGTAAATACTTGCAATATTTATTTTGAGAACTGGGGAGCAGTAGGAGCTTCTCATGCATGAAGCAGCTGCAACCCACCATTGCAGGGAAGGAAGAGCAAGAACCTTCAAGCTGAGGCACCTTCTAAGCATTTTGAAAAGCTCTAAACTAAAAGAAAATGGCTACAGGTCATAATCACAGAAGGGCAACTTCCTCCGCAAAGTGACCTATGGTGGGTTGGGAGAGTGGGGAAGGATAGGAGGCTGGCATACTTGTGCATCATCCTTGAGATAAGGTCTGCCCGCCTTCCAGCTGCCTCCAGTCTCTGTCACTTACAGGAACTGATCTAACCCTGATACTTTCCCAAAAACAGCTCAGGAGGAGGATGATGTAATCTCAACCTCATTTCCCACCCACATTTTGATGTGAAATTGCTGGCCTTGGAATTTTCATTGTAGTCATCTTCTGGCATCAAATGAATTGATGACACTCGACACACTTCGAGCAAGTGCACATTGTCAGAGGTTCAGTGTTGTGCTGGTTCAGAGCTTCAGCAATTGTTTCTTTCTATTTTATAATTGAAGTTAATCAGACAAAAATGAGCTGCATTTTTGAGATGAAGGTTTGGAATTGAAATTGAGTGCATTTCATAAAGAGAATGGAGCAAGGAATATGTGGCAATATTATTTAGAGAGTGGAACCAGTCAAAGAAGAATAATTCAGATTGAAATGCTGAAATTTCAATCCTAATTCTGTTTATCCTTGAGCTTTTCCTGCTGCTATTCGCCTTTCTTGATAACCTAATTAAATCAGGGAGTTTGAAGATTATTGTTGTTTTATGCATCTCTTTCTTGACTAATTTGTTTAATAAATATATCAGTAGTTACTAGTTCTTGCCTTTCAATTATTTCTTCATACTGTTTGGTTATATTTGCTCAAGATAAAAAAAGCAAATTTATAAAACGGCATGATAATTTTATCTGTTTTGTCATCATTATCCAGTGCTGTATATCAATGCTATTCTGAGCTTTTAAGAGACATCATTAAAGAATTACAATTCACAAATGTCCACCTGTTTAATATTCCACTGCAGAATTCTTAATGTTTAACGTTTTATTTGCAATGTTTCACAGAAGTCATAGTGCATTTTCAGTAGAGTTACAATTGCATTTTTTTAAAACAGCAAAAAAAACCTATTTTCTTCCAAACTGCATTCCTCAGCCAACATCACACAAGACATTTATTTAATTAACAATTGCAGGGTCTTACAGGAGACAAACTGGCTATTGTGTTTGCCTACACATCAGTAACTGAACTTGGAAAGAGTATTTCAGGTGAAGTCCTTCAGAATGTTTCTCCAAGATGTTTTGAGGTACCATATAAAAAGAAGTCTTTCATTCTTCCTCAATTAAAAGTCACAAGGCTAAAATATTTGCTGGGTATTTGCCAAAATTAGAAACCATATTCTGACAGTTTCAGCACTTCAGTCTTTTGAAGTATTAGTTTGAGGGCATTTAATGTGTCACCTTTCCCTTGCCTGAATCTAATTTTCTTGTTAGCTACAAAAATAAGGTTTGGATGCTAATTAATAACATGATATTATCTTCAAAGAAATAATGCCTTATTTCCAGTTTAATGATTTATAAAACTGATGTGTGACATATTTAGATAGACTCTTTTACCCTATTACAATTAAACGGCAAAATAAAACCACACAACTGCACAACACTCTATCTTAAATAATGGATCATAGTTTGGATCTATTTTTCCCTAAATTGCATCTCTTTCAATTAACTGTTTTAATATTCACTCTTTCGAACGTGGATAGTCAATGCCTTTGGAAATTGGAAATGTAAGAGACATTAGTACATTCCAAAGGCCAATCTGGAAGGATAAATGAAATGTTTCAAAATGAACCATTAAGCGTTAATGTAATAAAATGTTCTGTTTGGTGCTATACATCTTCAGGTTCATGATTATGTCCCATTGAGCAGCACAGTTTAAAGATCTGCCACACATGTCACAAGTTCTTCAAATCACAAGATTACAGAGATAATTGTAGATGAGGATAGTCTTTCAGCCCTTCCTAATTCATCATAATAACACCCTTTTATAACATTCAGTTTCTTCTTAAATGATTCCTGTGCAATTCAGATTTCCATACATTCACCCGTGTTATTGTGATGATTTTCTGAAGAAATTTAGTTCTCTTGTTTGCTTTAAAATAAAATGCAAGTTAAGTTTGCTGCACCTACTAAAATCTTACACACTTCTCTGAGGTGACATTGCCATTTCCCCCTTTCTTGGCTGAAGAGTCAAAATTCTGCCAGTCTTTCCTCACAGCTCAGACGTTGCACTGCTTTCAGTACACAAGCGTCTTCACAGCCAGAAATAAACAATATATTTGGGGTCGGGTTTCACAGAGCATGATAAAATTTGATCACTCGCACCTTTGACATGGTTTACTACTTTGACTACATAAATCAGCAGCCTAGTGACTCTGAGTTCTGCATTTCTGTGCACGTTGAATGTATTTAGCATCAAATCTCCTAAGAATCATAGATCTTTTAGGATCATCCTTAATTATTTCAACAATCCGCACAGACTCCAAATTCATTGGGATATTTTCCACATTCTCCAACACAATGCCACGCTAAAAATATCTTCCCATCACCTCACCTTTCTGCTTTCTGAAGGGACTGTTACCTCTGTCATACCCTGACCTAATCTTCAATCACCCTTGACCCACCCATCTCCTTCCCACAGCACCATTTCATGCAAGCACAAGAAATGTAACATTTGTCCTTTAACTCCAATCACCTCATGATCCAAGGCTCCAAATACTCCTTTGAAGCAATGATATGCTTGTACTTCTTTCAATGCAAAATCCCATACTTGTTGCTCAAACTGTGATCCCTGAACACAGACTGAGTGACTAGTGGAACACTTCCATTCACTCTACAGGAGAGAGATGGTAGTGTCGTGATAATGTCACTGTGCTAAAGCCCAGGCTGGTGCTGTGCAGAAAATTACTTTAGATCCCACTATGCTGCTGGTGGAATTAAGATTCAATTTATAATTCTGGAATTATTTGTCCACAGATGAAAATCAATGCCCCAGGTTTTTGGTGACCTGTCAGTCTTTTTTATTATTCTTTCATAGAACATAGAACATAGAACCGTACGACACAGGCCCTTCAGCCCACAATGTTGTGCTGAACATGATTAATTAAACTAATCCCTTCTGCCTACCCTTGGTCCATATCCCTCCATTCCTTGCATATTCATGTGCTTATCTAAAAGTACCTTAAACACCCCTATCATATCTGGCTCCACCACCACCCCTGGCAGTGTGTTCCAGACTCCTACCACTCTGTGTAAAATGCCTGCTCCTCATGTCTCCTTTGAACTTTTCCTCTCCACCGCTCAAGAGAAAACAACCTGAGTTTTTCTAACTTCTCCTTATGGGTCATACCCTCTAATTCAGGCAGCGTCCTGTTAAACCTCTTCTGCACCCTCTCCAAAGCCTCCACATCCTTCCTGTAATGTGGTGACCAGAATTGAATGCAATACCCTAAGTGTGGCGTAACCAAAGTCTTATAAAGCTGCAACATGTCATCCTGATTCTTATACTCAATTCCACAACCAATAAAAGCAAGCATCCCATATGCCTTCTTTACCACCCTATCTACTTACGTGGCCTCTTTCAGGGAGCTACGGACTTGAACCCCAAGATCCTTCTATACATCATTGCTGTGCAGGGTCCTGCCATGAACTGTGTACTTTGCCCTAACATTTGATCTCCAAAAGTGCAGCAGCTCACACTTACCTGAATTAAACTCCATCTGCCATTTCTTCGCGCATATCTGCAACTGATCTATATTCCGCTGTATCCTTTGACAACCTCTCAACACTATCCACAACTCCACTGATCTTTGTTTCATCTGCTAACTTACTAATTCACTCATCTACATTTTCATCCAAGTCATCTTTATATATCACAAACAGC